AAAGACGATTTCATACGGTGTTCTCTAAAACCCAATGTGGAAAAAGGCAATCGCCGACGTGGAACACTTTGTAGAAATTTAAGGAAATTTCTTCGACATTATTTCACCTGAGTAGTCCTTGATTACCTTTCCCAGTCTCCAAATGATTAAAAACGTCCCACGTTTGAACTAACCAACAGCAGCGCAAGCTCAGTCAAGGCATCGGCGTTTGAAGCAGAGTACACACCTGTATTCAGAAGAGATCAAAGCAAGTAAAAGGGATACCAATGTTATGTACCGGTGTACCATGAAAATCTGACCCCATGGGATTTGGACTCCCATGAAGAAAGACCCTACAGGGGTATTTTATATTTAGTCACCATACCATTGTTTTCCACATGGCTTGCATTTTGACATATATTTTGTAAGTATTTGTAAATTTGGTAGTGAAAATGTTGGTGAAATTAATAATTTTTGAAACAGGTATTCATCTTACAACCTGTGATATGAATACTTGTTTTTTTTTTCAAAGTATTCATCTTACTACCTGTACGATTTGGACTCTCATAGCCTTTTCATAGGAGTCATTGGATGGACAAATACACATTTTTAATTTTCTTATTTTCTCGTGCAAATTTTTCAAAAAGTGCCAATGTATTCTCCATTATGCATTCTACAAGATAAAAGTTAAATACTCAAATAAAATAAGATTTACAAAGTTTTGTGACGGGGAGTCAAAATTTCACGGAGGGAGTCAGATTTTCATTATAAAATTTTGACTGGGGGAGTCAGGATTTCATGGGAGTCAGATTTTCATGTTACACCGGTACTGGCATTAAACAATAATTATACCTAAGTCTGGATTTACAATTACCGACTGGATCGGCGATGGGTAAAAAGATAATGTATGTTTCTGACTAATTTTCATTTGTGGAACTTATATTCATCCTGGCGCCGAACAGTGATAGCAGAGCTGAGGGAGGGGGACCTTACATGGGGACAAGCCCAGCACGTAGCCAGAGACAGGGCCAAATGGAAAGAAGTGACTGTGGCCTTATGTCCCACAAGGGATGAAGAGCATTGATTGATTGATTGATATTCATCAGAAAGAATCAATATTTAGGTTTTACGCATGCGCATTTTTGAATCAAGCTTTATTCTGGTTGAACGTAATCATTAGACATAACATCACCGATTCACCAACGAATCAAAGAATTCAGAAGCATGTTGACCAAATTTTTACTGAAAACTCTCAAAGCTAGGTTAAAAACGTGGTGACAATACCTTCTGTTGCACCGTTGAAGTGGAATACGATGCCTTTTAACCTATTACAAATAAAATCACATTGAACATTTAAGGAGCTGACATTTGATGTTTTATTCACGAGTTGTGTTCATTTATTCAAATAATACATGTACAGCTTTGTGGTAACTCTGCCGTCTTGGATACAGCTAGACACTTTATGCGGGTTCGAATTCTTGCAAGTTAATTTTTTTTTGTTTTGTTTTTTGCTAGAAATGATTTCTAAAGATTGCGTTTGATAACCATTAGAAGAAAACGTACAAACAGATGGTGGGCGTGTCAGTGGCGGTGTAACAGGAATGTAAGTCTTAGGAATGAAAGACTGGGTTCCCATATGATTTGTACAGGTTAGGGTTAGTTGGTGTATTTGGGTTAGTATATGGGACGAATGACACGTTGCACAAAAGTAATGGAAAGCGGTCTACGGTCCCTAGCATTCCTGTTACACCGGTACAAATAAATAAAGGTGGGTACTTTTGTTACTCGTGAAAACCACTTTTTATTTCCCAATATGCATGAAACGTTCATATTATTTAACCTGATCCATGCCCCCCCCCCCCCCCACCACACACACACTACTTNAATTACCGACCTAAAGAGTGCTCCTAGTTAGCTCAAATTTCTCATCAGAAATGAAATTTTTGGCCCATTTTGTCTCTAAATCACCTGTTCATGGAGAGATATCTTTAAAAAAAGTTATTAATTACCCTACCCTATTAATATACCCCTGTACATGTAAGTGCCGCAGTTTGTGTCTATGTGCACGTGTGAGGTCGGTTTGGCATGTGAGGATGATGGTGTTGGTACTTGTACCGGTATATGCACGTTCATTTTATGTTTACACGTGTTTCTGTGTGCGCGTGAGTGTGCGTGTAGAAAGTACAAGCATCCAAAGTTTAAACATACCCATCTCTGTCAATCGTGTCAAACACTTCATTTGGATCCTGGTTTTCGCCTTGATCATCCTGGTCTTCATCACCCTAAGGTCACTGTATTGTTTATCCATTCCTTGTTGTTATTATTACAAGTGTTCATTTATTTATTTATTTTTATTTTTGTTTTTCTATCAATATTTTACTATGGTTATTTCATTTATTTATTTTTACTGGTACATGTAGTCAGAAATGTACGCAGAATAGAAATATGTGTGAATATCTTGTGTATTTTTAAAAGATGTACATGTACATGTACATGATGTATTTCTTTAAGTTCATTCCAAGTATTTATAGAATGCACTTCCCGGGCAAATACCCCGGTACTAGTGGACCCACCTTCGAGCAGTCTGCGCAGAACCCCGCTTCCTTCGAGCCGCAACAGTCGGATTCAGCTTTCTCCATTAAAGTTGCCAGACCCAAGGCAACTAACGCAAAAATCGCAAATGTAGTCATCTTCTGAAATTTTAAAGTGACAATATGGAGTTGACACAAGAACAAAATTTTAAGGGATTTTAGAGGACAGTGGAGCCCACATCTCTACTGTCAGCAGCTATACTAAGCTTTCAGAGGCACGCCGGCAATAAAGACGATTTCATACGGTGTTCTCTAAAACCCAATGTGGAAAAAGGCAATCGCCGACGTGGAACACTTTGTAGAAATTTAAGGAAATTTCTTCGACATTATTTCAGTTCATATTATTTAACCTGATCCATGCCCCCCCCCCCCCCCCACCACACACACACACACACTTAGTTCCATGACCAGTAAATGCGTTTTTTATTCTTCATCCTTTAGAAACGAAATTATTTTACTAGGAGATTTGTGGTTTATACTCGCCGAGCTTGCATTTTCAACTGGATAATAAAGTTTTATTTACTGGGATTTGTGATTTGATAATTTTATTTCCAGTAAACTGTGAACACCCCTCCCCCAAAAAGGGACCTTCTAAACTGCTGCCAGGTGTCAAGGTGGTCCTCACCTTCCACCTTCCACCCTTCAATTTTTGAAAAAAAGTACACCAATGGTCTCCTCATGAAATCAAAATTTTGACGGTACCTGAATCATAGTTCTAACCGTACCAAATTGCACTGTTCGCCCTAAAAATTTACGAACATTTTAGGGGCCTTTCAGCGGCCCCAAAACACAAGCCAAAGAGGGAGTAGGGATCTGGTCCGCCCCTGTTATGCAAATTTGCTTACTTTGTTCTGAAGTTTACAAAGTTTGATAACTTCGCATTGGCATATGCCGGCTTACATGAAGAAAAATATACAATTTATCTCCAAGAGAAACTAAACGTCTATACCGGTACATACAGCGACCGCAGGTTAAGTCTGTTAAGACAGTAGTTGGCCTGTTTTTACTTAGCTTTGCACACTGTAAAAAAGCATTTGTAAATAATTTTGATCAACACAAGTTGAGCAGTGAATGGAAATTTGAGACTGGCGATAGTTTTAGTCAAGAATTGAAAGACGAAATGTATTTTTTTAGGAATAGTTTTTTTTTTCAAACGAAAAGCTATAAGTTTATAAACTTTTAAAAACTACCAGTATGAGACCATTTCCCTTGGATACTGCTGGAGCGAGAGAGAGAAAGAGAGAGAGAGAGAGATTATCTTAATTGCAAGGGTTTCATTTGATGCAAGCAGTCTTATGATATACGAGAACGAATTAAGTTTTATTACCACTTCATCGTAAGTTTTAATGTTCACACTCTTTACCTCTAGAGGTGTATATCAATTATTTATCATGAATCTCCAGTCATTCTGCATTGCATTCCCGTATACAGAAGATCAAAGTAGTTTCTGTATCAAAAGTTGTTAGTACCCGTATTGTAATGTGCGTTTTCAATAACAGATGTATGAGACACTTTCACAGTATAACCGTCATATGTCTAGACATTTTAGCCCATCAGTTTAATTGATATTTTTCTCTGGGTAGAATGTGAAGGTTGTCAAACTTTGTAAACTTTGTTTAAAAGTTATAAAAGCTGTGTGGGATTTTTACTAGAGAAGCAGAATTGTTCAAATTTCACACAAAACTTCAGTATCATCTTCAATTTGATTTTTACACCAGGTATTTGTCCGGTACTAGTTTCTACGGACCGTTCCCAGACTCAGCGTACTCACTGTGTATCGATCTATCTCCAACGGGATGCTCTCGATGTCTGCCACGCTTACTGAAGCTCCTAGGGGTTATTAATTATTGTTTAACAGCTTCAGTAGGCGTGCCAGACACTTAAGCCGCTTTAGCTGGAATCAATTTAGCGAGAATCCCCTCGGAGATGGACCGATCCTGTTAGATCGATCTAGGTATGGGAACCCAGTCCTAAAGCAACCACCAAAAAGTCATTTTATTCCTATACGTACTCCACACTGGTTTTAGTAGATCCTTTAAGAGATTATTACATCTGTCAAAGTCGACGTGGCCCAATGGTAAACACAGATGTGAGAATAATTGCAATAACCGCTGTTTGCTGCTAAAATGGAATTTATTATATTTCTTTGTGCTGTTTGCAATGTATGTGTGTACATATATTTATTGTAGAATTTTCAATTTCATGTGAAGAGTTGTTGTCACTTTAAACTTTCAATGTATCTCTTTTCTAAGGGTTGGCATTCTTATATGGTTATTCAGACGCATCTGTACGTATGGTGTTGTAAAAAAAAAAAAAAAAAAAAAAAAAAAAAAAAAAAAAAAAAAAAAAACGTCTACAAAAATTTGATGACAGCGTAACATGCTTTCATCTCACTAGTATACAGGTGTGTTCGGTTTTTCAAAAGGTGCTATCGTAGCCGTCGGTGACTGTTTATATTGTTCAGGCTGTGGGAACAAAATTATTTGGAAACTTTGTGTGAAAGGAAACGGAGTTCTCAGGTAAACTTTGTTGAAGGTAGTTTCTTGGAATGCTGTATAGGATTATAGCGAACAATAATGACGCCAAGGGGCCTTTTGCAGCCACAGGTAGATACCGCCATGTTGACTCCTTTTCTTTACTGAAGAGGTTGCCATAAGTGGTAACATCTATAGCTGCAAAAGGCCTCGCCTGAGAAACTGTGTCTCATTTTACGCTCACTCACGGTTCTTAGTCTGTCCTAGAACAAAATGTTATCGCTTTTGATAAAAAAAAAATGTTCATAAACTGTTTTAGAACATTCTGATGGACTTCCCAAAAACAATTCTCGAACTGTTACATTCATCAAAGAAGAACGTTAGGACTGTAAAAAATACACCAAATATTCTAGAATAGATTGAGAACCGAAGGTGAACGTTAAATGAGACACATTTTCGCAGGGGTTTTCACCTTTTTGCGCATTGAGATTCGGCGGACAATTTAATTAGTAGCCCTTTGCAACCAGCCTTTGATAGTCAAGGCGAATCCCAAATATCGCCAGATGTTGATATTTCATATTTCAGATGATGACTGCCCTTCCAGTGTTTGCGTTGGTTGTGACTTGCCTGGCAGCCATAGTGCAGCACACCGCCGCAATCTGCTGTCGAGAAACCAGAGGAATTTATTGCCTTGATTGCACTAAGGTAGGGCCTACTATATTACAAAGCTAGATAAAGAGTTTCGGAATATAGAAAACTACGGCACTAAATATTTTAGTTTCACAATGTACAGGTTTTAAAGGGGACTTAAACCCAGAAGTCAGTTTTATGTCAGTGAGCGTTATGAAATATTTTTCTCTTTTCTGACGCTGCGTGTGTTTTTATGTGTATGTGTGCGCGAGAGTGAGAGCGCGATCGTGTGTAGGTGCGAGTGTGTCTACGAAACAGGGAGAGAGAGCTAGAGTGATTATACAATTTCACTCTTTACTTTACAGAAAACCCCTTACTGTTCATACGGAAAGTGCAACATATTCGGCTGCGCTTGTGCCTCTGCATGTAGAAAGAACTGCAACCCTTGGGTCACGTATGTTTAAATCTCTCTCTCTCTCTCCTTTGAAGACAACGAAGTACGTCTGTACATTTAAAAAAAAATGTATAGATATAAATCTTCACAAGATGTTTACATATATTCACCTTCATGGGTATTCCGTGGACATTTCTGTCCAGAAGAATAAATTTGTACATGAAATCATCGTAGTAAAATAATGATAGAAAAACAATAAATTATTAAATGAACGAACGCTACTCAATATTAAAAAAGAAAAATAGAATAGTAATTAAAGGAGGTCATCATCCACCTGACACCAGGAAGAAAGGATCCTTGTCAAAATCTATATAATAAACACGGGACGTCGCATTATTTGTACAGTGAAAAAAGTAGAGGCTGGCTGAGAGGGGCAGACTACAGTTGCCAATGTAGGAACAAAAGGAGAAGGGATGCTGAGGATGTTGAGGGCCAGGAAGATGAGGACCAGGGTGAAGAGGACCAGGATGATCAGGGCGAAAACTGGGGTCCAGATAAAATGTTCGCCGAGCTTGATACAGATGGGTGAGTTTGAATTTTAGATGATTGTACTCACTATACACACGAACCCACTCACACAAACTACCTCACTTATGAACATGAACACGAACTTTCACATGCCAGCCCAACCACACACGTTCACATAGCCCCCATTCCTATACCTATATAGAGCTATCAGTATCGGCCCATCTCCGAGGGGATTCTCGTTAAATTGCAGTCAGCCTAAAAGCGGCATAGATGTCTGACACGTCTACTGAAGCTGCTAAACCATAGTTAATTACCCCCTAACAGCTTTAATAGACGTGTCAGACATCAGAGCCGTTTCAGCCGAATGCAGTTTAGCGAGAAACCCCTCAGAGATGGGTTGATCCTGCTAGATCGACGCAGGTATGGGAACGGGGTCACTGACTGGGGCATACATATGTACGTGAGAATTACACCAGCTTAATAAGAATTTATGTTACAACTTTTTTTATATATACGAACTTCATTAAACGTTACCTAGGGCAAATTATTCAGACAAAAGGCTCTTTCACAATGGACGTTTTAGAGTCTGTTCCCAGGTTCGTAAAATTAAACCAAGGAGTTCTCCCAACTTCTTGGTTAAACATGATGCTTCGCTCGCTCGCTTGCGTTAACTTCGAACATCATGCACCCACATAAAACATGGCGTTAGTGAGTGTGTATACATCAGTTACATGTAAGTTAGTGTCCAGTGTGATTCACTTTCATTATAACCAAATTATTCAACTGCAAATCTTCGAAAACAGAACGCTCAATTTGGAAAGCTAAAATACTAGTAGAGCGCTCGTTCAGAAAAAGACTTAAGATAAACCCTTCTCGACTTCCTTAAGGCTAATGCACGTAGCGTTAATAGGATCATTTTGTTATGTTTCAGAGATGGTTATATAAGCTTGGATGAGCTCAGCACTGTCCTACAGGGTTACCCAGATATTAACGCTGCGTTTAAGGAAATGGACGCCAATGATGACGGCAAGATTGATCGCCAGGAGTTCGATTCTGATCTGCAGTAGCTCTGAAAAACGGAGATGAACAGCGCATCACGTCTTCCTCCCTTTATTGAAATTAGAAATGTACCTTTATCATTATGTGAGACGAAATGATGATGCTGTTTATATGAAATTCAGATACTTATGCAACCTTTTCCTTTATTTCGCGTGATATTAAATTTGGAATTTCTTGGTAAATTAGAATTTGGAATTATGTGAGACAAAATGATAACGGTAATAATATGAAATTCAGATAGCAATGCGACTTGAATTGTCATGATTAATTTTTGAGTTTGGCTTGCTTTCGGCACATGTGTCTGTCCCTAGTGAAATGATTTTGTTGAGTCCACAAGGTGTGGAACATTTTTCAGTAGAACATTAATTCAACTTTCCTACTTTTACCTGACGTTTAACAAAGTTTGATAACCTTCACTTTTGGAGTTACCGGTATATCATGATAGAAAAACTCTCCGAGACAGACTGAAACAGAGATATGGGGGCTTTACATCGATAGCGGCTTGTCTATTTCAAAAGCGCATTGAACAATACTGGTAGTTTTCATTTGTAAATTACTTTGATCTGCATGAGAATGAAATACGATATGAATGAAGAATGATGATATTCAAGTAAAATACTCATTTTTCACGGAACACGAAAGACGATAGCAGGAAGACTACGTTTAATTCTCGGGCACTTGCGGGTGTAACCATGGTTGAGAACACCAGACAGCAAGAGTACCTCTTATTATATTATATATCATTGAATCAAAAGAGAGAGTTTGTCTTACGTAGGAATCGGGTCGCAACTTAATCTACAGTCGACATCACACGCACAACCGAATGCATTACTATGGAACGCCATTTTTTGTAGGCTGTTAGAATGTCATTTGTCTGGCTATTAAATTGCAAGTCTGATTTTTTGTGTGAATGGCGTTCCATACATTACATTTGCCATTTCCACAGTACGGGTTTCTCTGTAATGTAAAAAGGGAAACTATTTCACCCTCTCTCTCTCTCTCTCTCTCTCTCTCTCTCTCTCTCTCTCTCTCTCACACACACACTTAACAAGTATCCAATTAAAATATGTTGTATTTGCAGCATGCGAACATCAATCACTTATTATATTTTCTGATATATATTTAAGCTGGTGTCCTGGTAAAAACAAACCTTTCTAGTCACTTTAGAAAAACGTCGCATAGAACAAGGCAATTCTTTCTTTCAGAACGTTAACAGTGACAACGATAAACTAGATAATTTTTTTCTTAATTCCTAAATCCTACAGATAACTACCCGGTATATATAACACTCAACCCAGCTTCAATGTGCCAAACATTTGAACTGAAAAATTTCGCCACTCTTTCATCCCATTTACCTATACTAGCTTTACGGGACCAGTGCATAAATTAAATGTGAATCGTATTATTTTTTCTTTTTAATTTTTATTTATGCACTTACCGGTACATAGCTTATTACATATTTGGTTGCTACAATTTTAAGCAAGCTTTTTAATGTTTAAATTATTAGTGATGATGTACCCTCGTGCAGTCGTTGCTGAACTCCCCCCCCCCCCTCCCCCCGTGACTGTATTTTTTCTCGGTAAGTATGTGGAAAGACTTCACTGATCATCATATCGCCACGGTCATATAACATACCTAGGTATGTATCGTTCATAAAATCTGATTAAGCAATTAAGTGACGGCACATGGATAGTCACAAGGTGCATTTCGCTGAGTGTTTACAAGATCTAGCGACACATTTTATCACCACGCGTTCTAGTCTGATAAATCAGGGGGCGTTTATGCTGAATCGGGGAATCTGGAGATATGTCACTAAATGGGGACATCCTCGAGGAGACCGGTAGTGTTGAAACGTGTGAATAATTGTGTCTGTTAAATGTGAAGGCTAGCTTAGATTATTATACAATGGATGGTATCATAATTGCCTTAGATCTTCAGTGTGTGCAACAAGTGGCGCAACAAATGATAATAACAAACGTCAGGAAGAAAACGAAATAAAATAATTTGAAATTTAAACGGTCACTCTGGTGGCTTTGCGTCATGTCTGTAAATCTAACGTCGACTTCAGCCCAAAATATTAGTAAATTCAGAATTAAAAGCTAAAACGTAAATTGACATCTGCCCTAATTTGTCAGATAACAAAAAATGCCGGTGATCCAAGCGGAGGATACGCTTTCCTGAAGGTAGCGGCGTCGAAGGGCGACTGTGTTTTTCTGAACAACTTACCTGTGGACCTTTATTAGTTACGAAAAGCCTCCTTTTCAACAGGCGTGTTTTATTAACTTTGTAAACTCTGTTTAAAAGTTATAAAAGTTGTGTGGGCTTTCTACTAAAGAAGCAGAATTGTTCAAATTTCACACAAAACTTCAGCATCATCTTCAATTTGATTTTTACACCAGGTTTTTGTCCGGTATTTTCTGGACCCAGCGTGCTAAGTGTGGATCGATCTATCTCCAACGGGATGTCGCGATGTCTGTCACGCTCATTGAAGCTCCTAAGGGGTTATTAATTATTGGTCAACAGCTTCAGTAGGAGTGCCAGACACCTAAGCCGCTTAAGCTGAAAGCAATTTAGCGAAAATCCCCTTGGAGATGGATCGATCCTGTTAGATTGATCTAGGTATGGGAACCCAGTCCTTAAGCAACCACCAAAAAGCCCCTTTGTTCCTTTGTGTACTCCCCACTGGCTTTAGTAGATCCTTTAAGAGATTTTTCTGAGCTGTATCCTCCCCAGGGAGGTGAGAACGTCTACAGAGTGCACCAGTGCAAAAATACTAAAACGACCAGGCTTCTCTGACTTGAATAATAAAAAAATAATAAAATATAAAATAAAATAAAATAATAAAAAAATTACATACATGTATATGTATATCTTCAACCTTCGGGTTGCGATTTTCTAATAAAGATTATTATTATTTTTACGGAGGGTAGCCATCTGTCAAAGTCGACGTGGCCCAATAGTAAACGCAGATTTGAGAATAATTGCAATAACCACTGTTTTGGTGCTAAAATGGAATACATTATATTTCTTTGTGCTGTTTACAATGTATGTGTGTACATATATTTATTGTAGAATTTTCAATTTCATGTGAAGAGTTGTTGTCAGTTTAAACTTTCAATGTATCTCTTTTCTAAGGGTTTGCATTCTGGTTATTCTGCCGCATCTGTACGTATGGTTTTGTAAAAAAAAAAAAAAAAAACGTCTTCATAACTTTGATGACAGCGTAACATGCTTTCATCTCACTAGTATACAGGTGTGTTTGGTATTTCAAAAGGTGCTATCGTAGCCGTCGGTAACTGTATATATTGTTCAAACTGTGGGTACGAAATTATTTGGAAACTTAGTGTGAAAGGAAACGGAGTTCTCAGGTAATCTTTGTTAAAGGTAGTTTCTAGGAATGCCATATAGTATAATAGCAAACACTTATGACGCCGAGGAGCCTTTTGCAGCTACAGGTAGATACCACCATGTTGACTTCTTTCCTTACTGAAGAGGTTGCCAAAATGGGTGGTATCTATAGCTGCAACAGGCCTCCGTGCGAAAATTTGTCTCATTTTACGCTCACTCACTTACTGTTCTCAGTCTGTCCTAAAACATAATGTTTTTCGCTTTTGATAAAAAATGTTCTTAATATGTTCTAAGGCATTCTGAAGGACTTCCCAAAAACAATTCTCGAACCGTTACATTCAATGCAGAAGAACATTAGAACTGTAAAAAATACACCGAATATTCTAGAATAGATTGAGAACAACCGTAAATGTACGTTAAATGAGACAAATTTTCGCGGGTGTTTTCGCCTTTTTGTGCATTGAGATTCAGCGCACAACGAGAACCTAATTAGCCTTATGCAACCAGCGTGCCTCTGACAGTCAAGACGAATCCCAAATGTCCCCCGAAACTCAGTTTGTCATTTCGCCAACCAGATGTTGATATTTCATATTTCAGATGATGACTGCCCTTCCAGTGTTTGCGTTAGTTGTGACTTGCCATAGTGCAGCAAACCGCCGCAATCTGCTGTCGAGGAGGCAAAGGAGATTATTGCCTTGATTGCACTAGGGTAGGACCTACTATATTAAAGAGCTAGATAAAGAGCATCGGAATACAGAAAACTATGGCACTCAATATTTTAGTTTCAAAATGTACAGGTTTGCAAGGGGACTTAAACCCAGAAGTCAATTTTATGTCAGTGAGCGTTATGAAATATTTTTTCTCTTTTCTCACGCTGCGTGTTTTTGTGTGTATGTGTGTGCGAGTGTGAGAGCGCGATCGTGTGTAGGTGCAAGTGTGTCTACGAAACAGAGAGAGAGCTAGAGTGATTATACAATTTCACGTTTCACTTTACAGAAAACCCCTTACTGTTCATACGGAAAGTGCAACATATTCGGCTGCGCTTGTGCCTCTGAATGTAGAAGTGACTGCGTCCCTGTGGTCACGTATGTTTAAATCTCTCTCTCTCTCTCTCTCTCTCTCTCTCTCTCTTTCATTTGAAGACAACGAATGGGTTCGAATGATTTTTAAGAAGTACGTCTGTACATTTTAAAAACGAAATGTCTATATATAATTTTTCACTAGATGTTTACATATATTCACCTACATGGGTATTCTGTGGACATTTCTGTCCAGCAAATAGAAATTTGTACAAGAAATCATCGTAGTAAAATAATCATAGAAAAACAATAAATTATTAAATAAACGAACACTACTCAATATTAAAAAAGAAAACAATAATTAGTAATTAAGTGGCGTCATCATCCATCTGTCACCAGAAAGAAAGGATCCTTGTCAAAATCTATATAATAAACACGAGTTCGTCGCATTATTTGTACAGTACTATAAGTAAAGGCTGGTGGAAAATACCGGACCAAAGCTGCCGATGTACGTACAAAAGGAGAAGGGATGCTGAGGATGTTGAGGGCCAAGAAGATGAGGACCAGGATGTTGAGGACCAGGAAGATGACGATCAGGAAGATGAGGGCCAGGGTGATGAAGACCAGGATGATCAGGGCGAAAACTGGGGTCCAGATAAAATGTTTGCCGAGCTTGATATAGATGGGTGAGTTTGAATTTTAGATGATTGTACTTACTATACACACGAACGCACTCATTC